CTCCTCTTCCCTCCATTAAAGACATTTCATCCCAGCGCTGCGTGTCCCGAGCCTGTAACATTATAAATGACCCCTCACACCCCCACCATGGACCGTTCTCCCTGCTTCCCTCTGGGAAAAGGCGTCGCAGCATCCGATGCAGGTCCAGCAGGTTTGGCAACAGCTTTTCCCCGCTGCCATCACACTGCTGACCTGTTGAACTATAAACTGGACTCTGCATCACATTATTTTGCACTACAATTGTGGCTGAACTTTTATAATCCTTTCCTGAACCTTTTCATCTTGATGTCCTTTTGCACCATCATTTTAAACTGGTTTATTGGTAATGTTTATCTTACTCCGACCGCAATATCATTACACAGTTGTAAGCTGTCTGCAACGAAATTTAATTTTGTATATAAATGACACTAAAGTTTGTCTAAGTCTGTTGTTAAATATATTTTGGACCTGTCATTATAAAAAAAATGATTTTTTATTTTCAGTCAAATTAAGACTTTATTCTGCACTTCTCCAGAGATTTTGTGGATGTATTATTTTTTCTTCTTTTTTCATTTTTGGATTAAAATGCTGTAGCTATGACCTTTAAAGTGTGTTTGGTTTTAAAGGCAAAAAAGATTTCAAAATGCAAAGTGAAAAAACAGAAAAATGAATTGCCCATTTTAAATGTTTTATATGAAGTGGTATTCATAGCTAGATTAATGAAAAGTGTGTTTTAATCTCCATTAGGAAACAAGATTTGAAAATACATTTTCAAATTGCAGTATTTAATGGATTGCTATATTCAATTTGCCATTTTCTTTAATAATTTCATAAAAAATGTTACATTTTTTTGAGAAACACTTTTCAAGTTGGATTTCTAAATCTATGACTTAAAAGTTAAATTTGAATATTTTTGTATTTCTGTTTCACTGACTCTCCTGGTCCTCTACAGACAACAGGAAGCCTGTGCTTTTGCCAAGTTACACAAAGTGAAATGCGATATCTATACCCTCCATCTTTCTTCTCTCTCTCTATTCTTGTTGAGCAAACAGTCTGAGAGTCTGACTTCTTAATAAAGCTGTCTTCTACTTCCAGTTACTTCCTTGCTGTTCTTATCTTTTTCTATTTCCCTCCACAAATCCATCAGTGTTCCCATCTGATGCTTCCTCTGTTCCTAAAGCCAGTTTGTATACTTGAAAGAGGATTCTCATCCAGAACAGCTAATGTTGGCAGTCTCTAGTGTTTCATGTTGTCTCTGGAGCTTTAAAACACTACAAAGAACTATTCTATTCTATTCTTTACAAGGTCAACACACGGGTTCCTTTAAAAGATAATAAATGGTGAATCTTAAAAGTGTTTATGTCTCTCAAGATGTTTGTGTTGAAATATATGGATTTCCTACGTTTTATGAGTCAGCTCAGGTAAAAAACAAACAAATGGATTAGAGAAAAGAACATTTTAACATTTTCAATACATTTTAACTAAAGCTCAAATAACCTAGTTATTGAAATGTACAAAACCTTAAATTAAAATGTGGCTTAAAAACATTTCTTAGCATCTTCATTGAGTTTATATCTGCCATCAGTTATAAAGCTTCAGAATAAATGTAAACAGAAGTTTAACTGGAAGAATTTCTGTTTTTATGTGGGATATAGAAACCACATATGAAGGGACGGGAATCACATGTGAAATTCATAGGATATGATGTGGGAAAAGGAAATCACATGTGAAATTCATGGGATTTTCATGTTAAAAAATGGGGATCACATGTGAAATTCATAAGATATGATGTGGGAAAACGAAATGACGTGTAATTCATGGGACTTTCATGTGAAAAAAGGAAATCACATGCTAAATTAATTGGATTTTCATGTTGAAAAAGGGAATCACATGTGAAATTCATAGGATAGCATGTGGAAAATGGGGATCACATGTAAAATTCATGGGATTTTCATGTGGAAAATGGGGATCCATGTGAAATTCATGGATTTTCATGTGGAAAATGGGGATCACATGTGCAATTCATAGGATATGATGTGGAAAAAGGTAATCACATGTGAAATGCATGGGATTTTCATGTTAAAAAATGGGGATCACATGTGAAATTCATAAGATATGATGTGGGAAAAGTAAATCACATGTGAAATTCATGGGATTTT